CCCCCCCCAAATCAATCCTTGATCGTCTGTCTCGGCCTCATAGAGTCAAGCGGGAAGCTCGACAACCTTGTAAACACGGAGTTTTGAAAGAAAGAAAAAAACCTGCTGAAACCCCAGACGCCATTGCGCTTATTTGTACAGTACTGTAGTTATTTAATGTGAAAGCAAAAACATCTTTTCAAAACTGCAAGGCCAAACTTTTTTCAAAAAATGCATTGAAAACAAGAGGTGAAATAATTAATTGCTCAAATAAGATGGGCTTGTTGAAAGGAATCGGTTTTTAATGTTTTTTTTTATACCACGGGCACAGTTTAGACATTATACCAATGTCAGCCTGCACAGTACTTTTTAACAAGGTTTTTCCTGTTGACCTCGGTTGTTGTGCCCACATTTTTGGCAGCAAACGCCGCCTATCTTCATGGTCCTGCATGCATTGGAGGGGGAAAATAAACCCACAGTTTGCGATACCAAAACAAAAAGGGGTTGAATGAGGTTTGCTGCAATTATTCGTTTCATTTTCCATTTTTGTTTCGATTTCTCTTCGAGCTGTGGGGCAGCAATCTTATTTCATTTTAAAAGTGTCCCCTTGTGTACAGACATCTCAATGGCTCTGTTGAATGGTTGGGTTAACATTTTTCCGTGGGTATTTTTTGTTGTTGCTAGGAATACAAAATGCAGGGGCGAAAGCAGTTGGCACCGTGGTTAGTGAACTGCGATGCAAACCCAGCAATCTGAATACAAATTTCGGTCACGGATAACATCAGTGGTGAGTGATATTTGAACTAGTCCCATCCTTCACCAACCTGCACTGACCAGTGTGGTGAAGTATGGTCAAACAACCCATGTGACATGGTAGGGGGGGAGGTCTTACAGTATTGGATCAAGAAAGGCTGCACAATTATTATTATTTCGCACACGGAAATGCAAATTAAGAGATGGTTATCAATAGCAATTTAACCTTCGATATATTATTGTTTCATTACAAGCAGTTTAAAGCGAAATGTTACATAGAATGAGTACTGTAACAGTACAGTATATTAATGTCACAATGTGAAGTTGTACGTGTATTCCTTTAAAGATATTATACAAACATATTAAGGAAATATTTCGCAATAATTGTATAACATGTAGCATTATAGTAATGTATATATTTGTTGATAGGACCATATGTTAAATAAAATAAAACCGGTAATTTTATGGAATATTAACCCAAACTGGAAGCTGCCATGGAGAATAAAGTGAAAGTAAAACTATTTGCGGCTTATTCCAATGTGTCATAAAACGAAGAGAACGAGTTAGGTCATATGAGCAGGTGTTGTAGGCTTCTGTGGAGTTACTCTGTCAGTGTATTTCTATACCCCTAAAGTCTTAGTCCACTTTCACAAACACACGTCGATGAGCACGGCCGAGTATGACTAAATAACCCTCAAGAACCATAAGGTGCGTTGGGATCTACGGATGAATTGCGTCTTACAAATATAAATTTTTGTTATGGTGTGTGGGAGGGCCTGACCCAGCAGTGGATTGACAACAGGACTGTACCTATTCTTAGGTTTTTTCGGTAAAGTCACGTAGGTAAAAATGTATTATTAATTTAAATTTTTTACCTACGTGACTTTACCGAAAAAACCTAAGAATATGAATCCTTGCAGTCACGAAAGCTTCAAATCTAGGACTGTACCTGTACACATCGTAGTTGCTGAGGAAGCATGGTTAACATGCCGTTTTATTGTACGCACCTTTGTATTCTGACACCTACCTCTGTCGCGAACCTTTTTATCTGCCCAGACAAGCAAATAAATGAGAATTTGGTATATTGCCCAGGTGTTAATTCCTGTGTAAAAAAAAATGTGCTTAACAAATTTGTCACTCCGATTAGCACGGTTGGCTGGCTACGTATGGTCAGAAAGAAGTTCAACATACATACACCATTGTGTGTGGCTAATTCTCAGCATCACATTGTTTAACACACAACCGACACTGAATGGTAAACGTCTTCACATCGTCTGGTGCTGGGAACCCAGCATGTGGTACTACTGCGTACGTTTTCGCTCCTGTGCCGTACAGATCGCCAGTGTGTTTTACATTTGTACCGCGGGCGTATTGTTCGATATTACATCCAATGTTTTGTTCCACGTACTCCGAGTTTCTTCGGCAACTGAACTCCGTTACTAAGGATTATCTCTGCGCACATTGCAAACAACGCACGATACAAGCTGAAAACACAACCGAGAACTTTATCCAGTTGCGTGCTCTTTGGTGATGGGGCATCCAGGTGCTATACACCTGCATGCAACTTGAACCATTTATTATTTAGCTTTGTTCGTGTTGTGCTTAAAGCAGAGTCCATGGATGTCCGCGTAATAATGTGAAAAGTTACGTGGTGGTTTATTTCCCACACAAAGCCCTATTTGTCACGAGAACCATGGTACTGATATTACTTAGATCAATGGACTTCATTGCAAGGCCCATGGGCACCTGTCGGTCCCTGGTTGCCTTTAGTGCGGCCCCTGACAGGCAGTCACCGACAATATAGAAATGTGAAAATACCTCTGCCATCATCGTGTTATCAAACCCCAATGGTTTCCAAAGTGTGATGGCCCTCGCACTGCTGATGTCTTGATAATTGTTTTTTTACCCTTCTATCTGGCAACAGATGAAAAAAAAACATAACTCTGATAATGTGCACTGTCCTTGAAGTTGATTGGTCCACTTCAAGGACAGTGCACATTATCAGAGTTATGTTTTTTTTTGTTTGCATTATGACTGCAGGTATTGTGGTCTATGTAAACATGACTCCTTGTAAAAAGGTGTCCGTTTTGTTGCCAGATAGAAGGGTAAAAAAACAATTATCATATTTTTACTGGCAAATGAGGTTCCAATGGTGCTAATGTCTTATCGGCGAGAGTGAAGAATACTGACCCTAGATTTTGTCTGGGCCACAGGTTCTCTTCGGGAACGTTGCCAACCTCCATTGTATTATGTGAGGTAAGAAGAAGAAGTGCCTGTGAATATATTTTATGAATGTTTGCCCATGCTCCCATGAATAATGGGGTCGTATTTGGGAGGGCCTTTATACGTTAGGCTTTCTTTGAATGCCCACGCTGTGGCATATCTATAGTAACGTGGTGCACATTGCACACACACACACGCACTGCTCTGATTCAGAGCATTTTATGTGTACATTCGGGTGTGATTGAGGTGTTGAACGTTTGTTTGAAGTATGTAGGACAAGCTGATAGCAACAGCACAGTCAACCAGTTAAGCAGCTATTCTCTGGTATGTATCTGGTCAAATGTTTCTTTAGTCACTGTCCTGTACGTTCATTGATGTATCTCCTTTACACTCGAAAGTGGGCTAGATTTCAGACCCTGTGAATCAGCTTCCTTTTACGCTGGCACATCATGGCCAAATCTGGCCATGACCTTTTGAGAAGGGAGAAAGGCTTTTACCTAATTGTGTTTGTGTCACAAAAACAACCAAAGTAACGTGTGGGTGGATTAATTTATGCCTCCATTAAGGGCAATGACTAAGCGTCGTTCTGAGTGCAGGACATTTACTGTTGGAAAACAGTTTATTAACACCGAAGAATACCCGCATTGGTCAATTATCATGAAAAATGCGTCCCATTGTGTGTGTTTTTTACAGTGTTCTCAATGCACGTTTTAATAGTCATTTAGTATATTTGGTATTTGCGCTATTCTTACAGTGTAAGAATATCACAGAAGCGCTATATTTCACGGACGACATTATCAACCTAATGTTGCTATGAGGTTTTGCTCAAATGAACTTTGTGAGTAAATTACAGTCGTTCCTCACTTAACGCGGTAAATGCGTTCCTGAAAAGTGCCGCGTTTAAGCTTTTAAGCGAAAACAATGTCCCCAAAAGGAATAGTGTAAAAGGTGTGGATTGCGAGATGCAATATACACACACAGCACTAAGATGGCAGGACAAAGAACTGACATGAGGGTATGCCACTACATGCAGTCCTGTATCATTCCGCGCGTAGACCCAAAATTCCTATATACCGCTCAGCCACGCAGCTCCAGAAAGTACAGTACTGTAGTTCGCCATCGACCACTCAAACCGCGTTACAACGGGCACGTTCCACGCTGTACGAAGAGTGTTCCCTAATAGGAGAGCATTGCTACAGCGAAAACGCGTTGTGCGAAAACGCGTAAAAGGCGAGGACTTGCCGTACCTAATATTCTGAATAGAATTTTAGAGGCATTTTTCAAATTTGGACCAAGATGCTGGCGCACTCGCCCAACTCCTTGGAGAATTACGGCACGGGATCTTTAATGACGACTGTGAAACAGACGACATTTATTGTGTTTAATACCGCTGCAGTTTTAACCAGGTCGGCCATTGGGCTCGAACCTTTTGCGGCAAGCACGTGCGTGAGCGCTCGGCCATGTCACCGCTTTCTCTGCGGATTAAGTCTTTTACAGCCGTCTCTCTCGTAAAGTTAGTTGTACTTTGTGCTCGCTGGCACAGCTTTCAAGTTTAGCTCGGGGCAAAGTTTTCCTGGTTGATTGTTGTGTAAAAACGGTATCATATTGTGTAATGTTTGCATGTTTTTGCTCCGAATTTAACGAGGGATAAAAAATATATAGTGCAGTGTAATGCAAGAAGGTAATCGTGATTGATTTAGTTGATGAATAAATGATGTGGCAAAATAGAAATGTTAATTAGGTTCAGAGTTGTCTTCACGTTGAGCGTGTAAGTTCAGTTTGTCCGTTCCCTCATCAGCAGCGTGTTTAGAAAAAAACTATTCACCGTCAAAAGTATTTCACTAATATTTCTTTACAATCAGATTAGGAAAGGCGTGCCGGTTTCCAACACTTTTACCCCAGCCTCACTGTGAAACCTCAATTGCCCTCCGTATGCCTTTTTATGACATGTTGCAATAAATTAGTCCTCAACATGCTGGTATAGCAATCCGACGGGCCACCATAACAGAGTTCTGACCTGAGTTACTGCCACGCTGTCCCCGCAGGCGAGGCAAGGCGCGATCCGGAGCCACGTCGACAGGCACTGTAAAACGGCGGACGAGTCGTCGGTGAGCGGGGCGATTTAGGCCGCTGGGCCGGCAGGCAAAGGCCGCCGCGTCCCGTCAGCTGCTGCTGCGTCGGGGAAGCTCGTGTCTCCGGCCTACCCCCATCCCAGCCCCTTCTGGGGGTTGCGCACGGGAATCGGCGCAGGGCTCGCGCACTGGGCCTGGAAGGGCCGCCTGGGGGTTGAGGTGGGCGCGCCATGCCCGTGGAACGCATGCGCATGCGGCCGTGGCTGGAGGAGCAGATCAACTCGCAGGCCATCCCCGGCCTGCGATGGATCAACAAGGTACTGCCTGCTGACACGCCGCGATGCCGTTTTGGGGCCAGATCGCACTTCATGGACACCCTCGCGGCGGCACGTGCACCTGACATTTCCTCCCGCCATCTTCTAATTGTTCACCAAGTTCTTATAACCTTGATCGACTAAAGGAAAGTATGACCCCTCTTTAATAGTGCTGTTTGTTGTTGGTCCCTTTGGTGGTTTGGGTCTTTCGCCCTGTGTTCAGCAACTCTGATTAAATCAAATGTATATGTTCGGCCAGGTTTACAATTTTAACGAATGTCAGTCTTGATCATATTTTTGACAAACGTATTCCATTGCCCTAAATACCAACAGTGGTGGAAATATCTAAGGTGATGTTTCAGCCATTGTTGTAAATCTGGCTCATCGTGTTTGTCACGCGAAAATGTGGGTATATCGTCACGTTGCAGTATATGCATAATGAGATAATTGTATTGGAGGGACAGAGCTATGTGCTTTTAGGTGGAGTGCCAGTGACCTCTCCGTATCACCATTGTGGGACTCTTATCATTGCTTAGTTAAAACGGAAAATGTATTTTAAATGACTTCAAAGTATACATGGAGTAAATAGAAGAAGGGGATTAAAGAGAGCTGGAGGGAGGAATGGTTGTGTAGCACAAGCTATTTATAAATCAAAAGCAAGACTTAACTCGACACATCTAGTAAACGAAAGCTCTCAGACATTGTGTGTTCGAGAGTGACCTTAATGTTGTATATTGAATGTTGCACGGATAAGGACACGACACAAAGGCATCGAGTAACTTAAACACTTCCTGCTTGGACGGGCATTTATTAAGACCTGCTTGCGATGTATTTTGTCTCCTTAAGGAGCAGAAGATTTTCCAGATTCCCTGGAAGCACGCGGCGCACCAGGGCTTTGACGTGAACCGCGACGCGTGCTTGTTTAAGAACTGGGCCGTCCACACAGGTGGGTGTTGCGAGACCTCCAACAAACCGTCTGAGCTCGCAAAGTGTCCCCGGCGAGTCGAATGTTGCATGTGCCGACTTTTCAGTGTTCGTGTTCGTTTTTCAAAAGTAACTATTTTTTAATTTCACATTTATCTGCCCAACTTGGTGATGCCCACCCGGGGTCGCTCACTAGGGAAGCACCGGCCCGACCGGGAGGGAGACCCCAAGTCGTGGAAGACGAACTTCCGCTGTGCCCTGAACTCGCTGCCGGACGTGAAGGAGCTGCGCGACAAGAGCAAGAAGAAGGGGGAGAACGCCTACCGCGTCTACGTCATGCTGCCCGCCCGCGAGAGGCACAAGCGCAGGAAAGGTGCGTGACTGTCGCGGCGGTTGGCATTGTGGAAAAGTTTCTTGTCGCGCAGACCATGTGACCTAACGGCGGGTATTTGGCTGCCCTGTGCAAAGGGCAAAACCCGCCGTTAAAGGAAGTACAGTTGTGCTACAGGTGCAGCAGGTGTTTGGGTAAAACACAAATGACATCCAGTTTCCTGTACCTCTGTTGGCTTCCCCTGCCACTGCCCCTATACACATGAACTCCCCCCCCCCCAACACGCCCCACACATCATGTCGTTTTTGTACAGGAAGCTGTTGATGCGGTCGCATTATTTGCCCCAAGGGGATGCATGCACATAACGAATGGAACAGAAATAAAAAAAAAATAGACCATAATGGCATCCCTTGCTGCTATATATAGCTCTTTAACTTTGTGCACTTTAGTTATTGCACCCGTAAATGTATGTATGTTGAACTTTTTTCGCATCCGTACGTAGCCAACCATGCTTATCGGAGGTAGCAGTTCTAAAGAAATTAGTTTTCAATTTAGAAAATGTATCGTTCATTTGGCTAGCGGCAGTACATGAGCAAGAATCAAGTTTAAAATAATTCAATATCCATTTTACTGTATTATAACTGTACTATATTTGTTAACATTTCTTAGCATTCCAGACGCCACTGATTCTGGCACATGTCCACATTGTCGCATGTGGCTCTGGTGTCCAACACAGTGACCCCGTAGTAGTAGTTGTGGCCCCCTTGGCAAGACAAAACACATTGCACAGCATCGCGTTTCTGACTAGTAACTAGACTTTGGACTCATCGGCATGGGAGCATTGACAAAGGGTCGTCATGAACCCCAAGAATCATCGCTTGCGTTTCTCAACCCCCCCCCACATCACTCATCGTGGCCCAGCCGATCGGCTGTCAGGTTTACACCCAATCCGGTCGGCTTCGCTGTGTCAACGTTAATGTCGAGCGGTGTATAGCGTGTGGCGTGTTCGCTGGCGTTCAGCATTGTTCAACGTCTCGTGTTGCTACTCTGTGTGAGCAGGGTCTCTGGCCAAGAATGACAAACTTAATGGAATGGCCTCTGACAATGTAAGTACACTTCCTGGGAAAAAAAATGTCTCTTACAGTACAACCACCATCTGCGTCAATGAGCCTTTCTGTATGTGCGTTTATACATCTGCGTGTTAAATCAATAGCAACACTTAATGTAAGTGATGAGAAACTCGACAGACAGATACGCACATGCAGACTGAAAACAAATGTGAATAAAAACATGCAAAATGTGATTTCTAGACAACATACGTTTGCTTCTATGATGATTCTCTGGTCACTATTGTGTCTTTTACCATATAGAATTCACCTTTTGCAATTTTTTATCATTCACATTTGTGTGTTGTTAACCACCCTTTGTTACTCGGTGTTTTGTGACACCGTGATTGTCGATACTATAACACTTTAACACGCCTGAATTAACATGCCCCTGTTGATTTACGTACATGTGCTTGTACTAAAATACCCTATCTAAGACCAACAATGTAATACGGTAATCCAATACGTGCTGACGACATAGTGATTATAACATCCTGTGGAAATGAACTAGAGGAAATGATTTGAACAACTGAACAAAGGCTGCAAAATTTGGATAAAAATAAATAAGCCGAACAAAAGTCACATGGGACGAGTTTGCTGAACAAAAGAAAATAATTGTTGGACAAAAATCACAATTTAAGGTATATAATATATATCTCTGGTTGTCATTGATGGTGGACTGATATCAATATTATTGAAAAGAGGCAAGCGAGAACATGTTGGAGTGCTTTTTGGAAATTAGATTTGATAATGAGAATCAATCTAACACTTTAACTGAAGAGGAAAAGTTTTCGGTGAGTGCACGTTACATATATTTTAAGCTGCAATGCCACAGATCAGAAATGAACCCACTGATTAAAAATGAATCGACGCAACAGACAGAGTACACGAAGAAGCATGGAGAAGTGCATCTTTGGAATTCTACTGAAAGACGAAAAGAGGAACATTGATGGGAGAACAAACGCAAATCGGTAGGAATCGTAATTTTAAGAAAAGAAAATAAGTGGCCTTGGGAAGGACACTTTTATAGAAGGGAAGTTGGCTGATGGACGAGACAGGTGATGGGAGTGGCAATCATGGGTGGGTATCGCATCCCCCAAGTACGACCACCGAGACGCTGGAGAGATAAGATTAGCACGAGTGCGGAATGTGGCGTCAGAGGGCTGAGAAGTGGCAACAATGTGGAGAGGCCTCTATCTAGCAGTGCATAGAACATGGCTGATGATTATGAATCCAGTATGTGCCACGTGATCGCACATTCCTACATGTGATTTACGACATTCCTTCCCCATTTCTTTACAAATCACTGCCCCATTCATTGTATTATTACATTTAGGACGTTACTGAATTCATACCACTGCAGTGTCCAGTTATTTCTAATTATCACACGTGACTATGTAATGCACAACGAGTCGGTCCTTTCACGTTATTTTTCAAGTGCACGGATTTCAGAATCGAGCAATGCATCCCAACACGAAACAGTCGGTTTATCGTCTGTGTTGCAGTTTTATTGATCTGGTCGGAACACATGGTTTAAACTTTTATTTTGAATAATCATCTTTTACGGCAGCGTTCGGTGGGTGGCACGTTGCCAAGGCAATGATGTAGCAAAACCGTGTTTTGGAAACATGAACGCCATGGGTTACAGCACGGCACAGTCGGGTAAAGTTTTTCTATCCAGTTAACGCATAGCAGCTGATACGTGCGCAGTAACATGAGTTACTTCCACTTCCAAAAGTTTCGGTTTTGTTTTGAGTGTTTTCTCTTGACCTTTCTGGTGTTTAATGAGGCCTGTCTAGACATTTTAAAAAATACATTTTTTGTTTACGAATCAAGCTTGTCCTCCAAGGTAGAAACATGTTTCGGTTTCGTTTAAGGTTGTACAACTGGGAACACATCCTTCTTAAATGTCATGAAAGCAAGGGTTTGTTTAGTGTTGGCTCGCAAGATTCGAAGCGCCAATGTTTAACAGCTTGAGCACCCATCTTGGCCTCTTAATGATTTCCTGCAGGGACACTATCAAAAAGTGCACTGCCCCTGGAAAGGAAGTTAAGCCTATGCTTTCGTCTGTTTTCTCGCAGACTAAAAATGACCCTTATACGCTTGTTAAACATATGCTGCTAGAGGTTGCATACATTTAAACTGTTGTCAAAAGCATGCAATCGTGATGTGCCAGTATCAAAACCCTAATTTGTACGATTTTTTTTTATATGCGGAATGAGGTCCTTCGGATCAACGATGTGTACATTCTGGTGGGCCTTGAGCAAGTTAAAGAGTTTGATAGATGGCCAAAGAGACATGGCATCAATCCTTTGGGCCTCCCCCTTCAGTGTTTACAAAGTGTTTGTTTAAATAAGGCAGCGTTGAACCCCTTCTTCATTAAATGGGTTTGAGTAACAATTGGATCCCACCTTGCTGACGTAGACTCCTTTGGAATCGAAACCGGTTCAAAGTTTCCATTTGTAAACTAAAACATTAATCTGCAAAATCCATCGGCCGTGGATTGAACTCTGTTAACCCTTCTGTTAGTAATATTAGTTTAAGATTTTTGTCCATCCATTGCTTGAAGGAGGCCTTTGCTGTTGCAGTCATGGTGGGTCATTTGGCCAAAAGTTACTGTGCTGTTCTAGTTCAGGCTGGCAAAGGTGGGTGGGGTGGGGGGCATAACCGGTTCGTATATCACTCGTTACTATTGCTAGCCATAGCCAGGAATCGAACTCGGGTTGTTAGATTGTCCTTGCCCCCCCCACACCTCCTATTATCATTGTTAGCTACGTACGGTGTGAAAGAGGTTCATCATTCATAGTGCAGTGGCACAAACCACTACGCCACCGCTTCAGCCCCTTGTATTAGCAAACTGTAATTGGGATTCCAAACATGGTAACAGCTGCAATGTTCTGCTGAATTTCAGGATCAGTCGGGGACTGTGAAAGGAGAAGGTGGCAGTGACCACAGGCAGAGGATGCACATCAAGCTGGAGAACTGCCGGCTCTTAACGTCATCGCAGATCCAGAAAATGCTGTGCGACAGCCTCATTGACACGATCACGGACGACGACAACCACGACGGCCGCGAGGACACGCCGGCCGAGCGTCCGGGGCACAGCAGCCACCACCTTGCCACCTTCCCCGAACGCCGGCCAGACGTCGTGAGCAAAGTGGGCGACTTGTCCGACGAGAAGCTGCCCGTTGGCGAGATGCCGTCGCCCCTCATGGACAATCGGGACAAATTGAACGATCCTTCCGTGGTCTCATGCCACCCTTCCGACTTGCCTATAAAGCGTGAGGTCTCCCCGCACGGAAGCAACGAGACGGAGCAAGAGGAAGGCGTGCCAGTTCTATACGCGTTGCAGACGCCTTTGGCGACGCAAGACTGCGGGCACGGGAACCTCGCTGTGCTGGCTACACAGTGCAGCCTCAAAGCCGGAGCTTCCATCGCGACCTACGGCCTGCAGGAGGTATGGCGCAACGACCCGCAGCAGCAGAACCAGGGCTTCTCATTGGCTCTCGGCACACAAGAACCCACTTCGTCGCACGAGCACTGAGGAGCTGCACAGCACGGCCAGCGCAGGTAAATGCGGCAGCAGAGCTCGAGAATTGGTTAAAGGTGTTCTTTATTTTTTTAAAGTGGGGCACGGAGAATCGACGGAATGGTCATTTCGATTTAAAGCTTTCGTGGACTGCAGGGATTCATCTTCTTGGTTCTTTCGGTAAAGTCGCGTAGAAGGGAAATAATAAAATAATAAAAATAAATATTAATAAAAAGAATAAAATATTTTGAAATGTTTTCTTTATTATTTTATTATTTCCCTTCTACGTGACTTTACCGAAAGAACCAAGAAGATGAATGGTCATTATAGATGTTTTGCTGGTCACTTATCCTTCCCATTAACTTTACTCATTGATTCCTATGCCTAATATTGAGAACGTGTTCGACCACCACGCTGCGAGTCACAACGCTTCACTTTCTGCTTCTTTCCTTGCACTGCTCGACTTTGGTATTCCTTCCCATCTCCTCTTTTTTTTCTTATAACCTTCCTCAATTCAAGACGTGTAACTTTTCTATTACAACTTTATGAGTGCTGTTTGTTGTTTGCCACTTGGCATAATTGGCCTTTGGGCCTGTGCTTAGCAACCGTTTTGAAAACAAAAGGTGACGCTGTGGGTGTTGTTATGTGACGTCAGTCTGACGTAGAGCTGAATACGGCATTGTTTACGAAAGTATTTCTTCATTTCCGTCTTAAGTTTATGCTTTTATGCTTCCATCTATTCATTTGTTAAAGTGATAACGTTCAAATCACGACAATTGCGACTTAATTCTTCCATTCATTAATTGCATTTAATTTTACGTACTCAGTAGTATTGTTTGTAAAGCTGTTTTTGTGCCCAAGTGTATTGTGATTGTTGTTGTTTTTCATAGCGTTCTGCATGAACGGAGTTATATAACTTGTGTTTTCTGTTTGCGTATTGGGTGGCTGTTAATGAATTGTATAAACACACACTGACGCTCGTCTGCGTGACTTGTGAGTATTATCTTCCTTTTTGTTGAGCTATTTGTGGTTGCCCCTGCAGAATGGAATTCTAATAAGAGCTTGCTGACCAAAGCAGAGCTTGCTGATTTGCAAAGTAAATCTTTGCAAAATTTGTATTTTTCCTTTGTAACGTAACCCCAGTTTTCATGGGTGACTTGAGGGCACATCTCCCATGACTGATTTACGGTTTCATACAGAACTACTGCTTTCTTTGCAAGTTCTTCCTCGCTTCAGATGCTGGCCTCGGTGTGGCTTTATGATCAAATGGGAGAGTGAATAAAAGTGAAAGAGAACTTCATAAATAAAGCATTCTTTATACACAATGCTCTGTATTTACCCAGTTGACAATCACCGAGTCTTGAGATACACTTTAAGAGGGTCCTGCTCTGAGATGTTCAAACTACTTTTGTGCATTGCAAGAGTAAAAACGCACAGTAACCCAGAGAGAAAACTGGCACGCATGAAGAAATGATGCTCAAACCTCTGCACAACCAAATTCATTACCGACAGTACTGCCTCACGGATTTCCTACGCTTGTGTCTTTGGATCGCAGTCCAGGCATAAACACCAAAAACAAAGCATGGGGGGAAAAAATAATGAGTGGGACAACAAATGGACACAGTCAGGGCCATTTCTAAATGGCTCGTAGTTCCTTCTATATCGTGAGGATGCAGGGGAGGCCTTCATCCAGCAGTGGGTTGACCAAAGAGGTCTGTACATCATGTTGTAATTCTCTCGCCAATTCTGCCAGACATAAAGGATGAGATGTTCTACCCGGAGTGGAGCCAGATGGTAGAGGTAAAGACGGAAAACCCAGACAGCGACGACAGCTACAATCTGCAGATCTCCTCCGGAGCCAGCTCAGAAGGTGCGAGGGTTGGGTGGGGGCGGTGTTCTGTCTCACAGCTGCACTGCTGCCAACGACGAATCCAGGGCTTTGGCTCTTGAACGAAGAGAAGATTTCGGACATTGCAGTAACACGAAATGCGTAACGGTTCGCTTCCTCTTACACCCCCTGCCGCCCCCAAAGTGATTTGATAAATCTTCATGATTTCAGGGTTGCAATTCTACCGCAAGAATCAATTTTGTTTTGGTCTCAATTTTGTCATCGACATTTTATCTTGGCCTGGCCTAGCGGGAGTGCGTTTGCCGTTTGTTGCTGAGGTCCTTATGGGGCAAATCCAGCAGCCGCCCAGATTTTCTAATACCGCCGGTGTATTCGCCACAAAAGAAATACGCACCCTTTGCTTTGGCGACGTTTAATAATAGGCCATCGTGTGCCGGCGTGTCATAGTCCAAATTGGTCGAGTTTTGAAAAATTACCTGAAAAGTATTGCTTTGGGATGGTGTCTAGCAATCATCGCCTCGTTCCTGCGAAAACTTGGCAGGATCCTCTCCTTGTAATCTAGTCCTGAGACTGGGGAAGGCTTTCGTGGCTAAACAATCATACCAATGATAATAATATGCAATTCGCAGAACAGGACTCAATGCGATAAATACACGTGTTGACGTATAAATGAGGAATAGTGAGTGGTGGTGCGGTGGTTAGCACACAGTTCTATGAACCCGCCGACCTTATTTTGATTCACGGCCATGAGTGGCGAGTGATATCAGTAACCGGTTGGGAGACCCCTTCCCACTCTTCGCCACTCTGCACTGACCGGCATGGTGAAGTGTGGTCAAAAAACCCTGATGACAACAGCAAAGGGAAGGCCTTCATTTAACAGTGGAGTGATTTAAAAACGGCTGAGCACGATTCATTAATGAATTAGTATGTCATGTACCAGACGCGCAGTAGAAGAGAAAATGTTAATGAATATAAAAACCACTGAAAGTACGTATTGTAAAACGAGTTGATGTAAAGAATATGATCCAATACTGTCTTTCTATTGTCTTTTGTATTAACTTTTGTTTCTTCTGCCTAATTTCTACAATTGTTTGTTCCCATAGCCTAAATGAGCATTAACCTAAATGTTAACAATAGATTATCCCATGCGTGAATGCATACTTGCATCACGAGCATGAGAATCAATGTTATTGACATGTCGTTGCATACCTAATTTGTGTGTGATGTCGTCGCAGATGACAGCGACATGGAGACTGACGATGTAGACAAAAGCTCCCCACAGGTTTGTTATACACCGCTATTACAATTAATAGCAATTATTATTTTCATTATAGGACAGTACAATGTTTGGTAACCTCTAGGAATATAGTACCGCACTTACCGTGTAGACACAATCTAAACATTTATCAATGCATGCATTACACCAAAACAGCCATCACAATACTTTTGTTTGTCCTAAATGCTGGACACAATGACAAAAGGGATTACACGAATTGAAGGCTATTGTGTCGGCAAATACACAGGCCAGTTGGGGCCTAAACACGTAAACGATTGGTTATTGTGCAGTCAACATTAACTCTACATTTTGTTCAAACCGGCAAATGAAAACCCTGTTGTAAATTGTGCCAACAGAGATGAAATGCAATTCCACTTCAATTCTACTTTGATTCAGATTGCCGTTCGGAAACGTGACTGCAGATGCATGTAGTTATACATTCTTCGCCAACGAATTTTACATCACCCTTGGACAACAGCACCCCATTTCGGCGGCCAGACTTCTACAAAGTAAGAGCGCGAGACGGATGGGCACCATATAACGTGCGTCTCTCATGTGCGCGTGCGTCGCCTCCGTTTATAGACATCCCGAGCGCGGAATCAGCACCTGCGACGGGAGGCGTCGCCACAGAGGCGCGATCTCGAGTCGTGGTGGAGGAGAAACGAGTGTGACGACCGGCAAGGGGTGACTGGCCCGCACGTTGCGATGAGGGAGAGCTCCGAGGAGCACGGCAAGGAGCCACCGGCCCCCCACGCTGACAATGCCCAGTACCTGCAGAGCAGGAGGACGGCCTCTGTAATCGTGAGGCTTGGAAACGGAAAGCCCGGCACGGACTCGGACCCAGCCACTGCCTGGCCCAGCGACTCGAATCCGGGCTGTGAGCAGAGAGAGCAGCATGAGCAGCATGAGCAGCATGAGCAGCACCAGCAGCACAGTGATCAGCAACTGTGCAGGCCAGAGCAGGAGGATCAGACGGAGGAGCAGCAGCAGCAGCAGGCACTGAACCAGCAACATCATCAACACCATCCCGAAACCGCAGTCTTTCACATGGACAAGATACATCCGACCTGGGTGCCCACCATGTGTCACACGACCACGCCGTTTCTGAGCTCCGTGAACGGCTCCCCGGGCACCAGCGTCTCGTACGTGTGGCCAAGTCACCTGTCGGCAGACGCAGCAGGCAGACGTACGTATAGGCGTGGGGGTGGCTGTCGGTCGTAATCGGCTGCGAAGTGCTCTTAAGTTTTACCGAAGGGCCACGTGACGTGTTTGTAGTAGCAATGAAAACCATTTGGCACAAGATGGATGATGCACTGTTGCGGTGCGGGGACGTCAAAGCCCCGCGTCTTGCAGAGAGTAGAAAAACTGGTCTGAGCCAACAGCTGGCAAGTGGAAATTGGAAACCTCAGAACAAAAGATGCCTTTGGTGTCTCAATCTTTGTTCAAATTGCATGCCGTGCAGTAAAGCTTGAAAGCATATGGTTTGCTTGTGGTTATATTTCTCATGTATTAATGTCCGTCCCACACAAGTTGTAACTAACATATCATTATCATCATCAGAGTTTTTCTTTTTGTTTGCATTTTGACTGCTTGTGTTGTGGTTATTGCAAACATGATGCCTTGTATAAAGGTGTCAGTTTTTGTACCAGTTGAAAGGGTAAAAACCTATTACTAAGTTGTAACTAAGTTTGACTCGCAAAACACTGCCTAATGCTTTCCAGTACCATAGTCCATTCTGATGTTTAATTTACACCACTACTACCTTATCTTTGTCAGTGTCCATGTTTCTAATCGACATAAAAAACATTAATTATGCACTTATTGATAATGTTGACGAATATAATTGACATGAACAAAGGTGGAAACGCATGCAAACGAAGCAAATGGAGCCTGGTAAATGCTTGGACATAAACTGAGAGACAAGACGGGGTAAAACATTTGATGGTGATCAAATGCAAATTAGATACACTGACTGGGTAGGCGAGTGCAGGACACGGCTAGAATCGACGATGGCTTGTGGTCGATAAGAGTAACGGACAGCCAAAGGAGGGAAAAGCATGCCCGAGACGAAATCATCCGCTCGTGCGCACGCAGATGATTGGATGGATTGCCAATGGCTTGGGAAAGCTTCATCAGTCGGGGGTGGATCACGGCAGCCACTTGCAATGTTAAGTTGTGTAGTTTTTAGGCAACTTTTGACCAATCAATTTAAAGTTATGTTTGACCAGTTATTTGGGTGCACCAGCTATGCCTACATGTCTAAATTTGGACATTGGACAGTTAATATGCTTAACACACCCACTCATCCCCAGTCAGAGTTTGGTCAACTGCTACTGCGACTGCCCCATACTAAGAATGCCATTGTTCTTTTTGTTGATGCTGGTTTGACCAAGCGATGAATGTGACTCTTGCAGGGCCAAAGGCCCACTTCCCATGCGCACGGTCCAGTTCTGCTGCCACCACTGAGATGGTGAGCCCAATAGTCAAGGTCACGATTCGGCAAGCAGCTGATGAGACTCTGGAAAATCCAATGCCCTCACCAGTGTGACTGCCAGTCATACCGCTTATTAGTCGGACATTGCCGATTGCACATACAATCAGTTACCGGGTAGGTTTTAGCATTTGCGTTTTAAAGCTAAACAATTTTTTTTTTCAGATTGTACTGCGTGTTGTTCGGCATGACGTCCGATCTTTCGTTCCTTGTACTGGGAGTTTCTTAACAAACTTTCCCGTGGAAACTCCCAGCACGTGGAGCAAAAGGTCAGGGGTCATGCCAAACAGCTGGCGGTACAACCCGATAACACACATTGGAGAACAATCAAACACACAATTGCTTATAGCTGGTTATTACTAATAACCAAAGGACTCCCACGTGATTACAAAATTCGACCACTGTGTGCTGTTGCTAGCTAATCACCTGATTGTTAGGAGGTGGGGGGTGGGAGCTTGAGTTTTTGGTCCTCAGGTTACTACTTGGACATTCTGTTGGTCTTACACGGTGCTTGTTTTCTTCTCTTTGTCAGACGAGATCGTGGTCATACCACAAGGCCACGTGCTGGGGATGCGAAGCAACATCGAGTTCCTGGTCATTCCCCACCACCCGGACGCAGCTACCGCTGTCATTCATGGCTGACCCCTGGGCGGACAGGCGGCCAGGCGGGCAGACAGGCTGGCATGCTCCCTGCCTTCACGCACCACCACCAAGTTACCCCACCCCACCCTGAACGTTCCTGCTGGCGAGAGTGGCGAGGGAGGCGAGGGAGGCTCCATGCCTGCTCAGCTAGGGGGAGTGTCGTTGATAAGCATCTGAGCCGGGCGTGGCTGAGAGGACGGCTTGGGAAATGTAAAGAAAGAAGGTTTTAAAAACCTATCCCAAAAAAACTCCCAATGCAGGGGTTGGAAGAGACAAAACGTGCCGACGAGTACTAAGTGCTTTTAATTTTTTGTTATTTTATATAACATGCTGCTGAAAGGTTCACCTGGCATCGCTTAATGGTGCGGCACCTTAAACGTTCCTTCAAGAAGGCGCCCAATAAAAACGAAACATGAAAAACATTTGCGAAGGGATTGGGCTGGGGGTGTAAACCTGTGGAAAGAACCGAGCGTCAGGTGACGGTTGTGCGACGTATTCTCAGGAACGGTGTGAACCCGAGTTCGGCGGGGTTCTGGGTGTCAAATGACTTCCTGTGTACATAGCCTCACGAATCTACGCAACTCCACTACAAGTTTGCTTCATAGAGTATAA